CAGCCCCCCACCTCCTCTTCCTCAGGCCGTCTTCTCTGCTGCCCCCAGGGTGAGCACAACCCCATGTTCCCCCGTACAGGGACCCCCTGGGGCAGGGGGGGCATGGATCCCTGTGCATGAGCCACACAGGACAGGGGGATGATCAACAGGCATCCTCAGCCATGGTGGCAATGCAGGGGGAGAAATGGGGGCTCCCTACTGTTTGCAGCAGGTGAGGGGAATTTGGCTGTGGCAGAAAGTCATAAGCCGCTGACTTTTCCCTGTGCTACTTCCCCAGTTTTGGAGTGGGCCTATCCCAGGACAGCCTGGACCCTCTCAGGAGTAAGTATGAAACCCCTCCACTACCTGGCACCAGGCAGGACCCTACCTTGGCAAGGGAGTGGGGTATCCCGGGCTTGGTAACCTGATGATTGCTCTTTACTTTCCAGCATTAAACCGTTTGCACAACCAGCTTACCCCATCCAGCCACCCATGCCTCCATCACTAGCCAGTAAGTCACATCCTTGCCCCCTTGCAGGGAACCCTGCGCCCCTGCCAGGTCATATTTGTCCCCTGTCCCCTCCCCACCCACAGTGCTACCCACATGAGGCTCCTCCCCAGTCCTGATGGGGGAAAAGCCTGAGTTTAAACCTGGCAAAAAGTCCTGCAGTGAGCAGGACCCTGCTGCTCCTGGCTGGGTCCCCTCCAGTCCCTTTCCACTCAGGAGTAGGACTGGCACATCCTGTGTTTTAGCCACTCTGTGGGAAAACCCCCATGCTGGGAGATAAGGGAGAGTGGGGAATGCGGTGAGGACAGCAGCACCATGGCATTGCAGGGGGACTCCCCCCAGTTCACAGCTGCCCCCATCCCCCTGTCATTCCCCCTGCCCCAGGTTACGAGCCCTTGGCTCCGCTCCCGCCAGCTGCATCAGCCGTGCCTGTCTGGCAGGACCGCACCATCGCCTCCGCCAAGCTCCGGCTTCTGGAGTACTCCGCCTTCATGGAGGTGCCGCGGGATGCTGAAACGGTAACGGTCCCCTCCGTATCCCCACCAGCTGTGGGGGATGGCACACACACCTGTGCTTGGTGGCATCTTGCTTTCACCTGACCTCTCATTCTAATGTCCCTGGTCCCTACAGTACAGCAAACACCTCTTTGTGCACATTGGCCAGACGAACCCCTCATACAGCGACCCACTGCTGGAGGCCGTGGACATCCGCCAGATCTATGACAAGTTTCCTGAAAAGAAAGGTGGCCTTAAGGAACTCTATGAGCGTGGGCCCCAGAACTCCTTCTTTCTCGTCAAATTTTGGGTATGATGCTGGGAGGATTAGGGTGGGAAGGGTTGTCCTTGAGCCATGGGCTCGTTGCAGGTTGGGCCCCCTGCCAGCATGAAAGCTGGTGTCTCCTGTCCCCATCAAGAGCTGGGTGTGGTGGTGCCTAATGGGACCCTCTCTCCCCTCATCTCTCCAGGCTGATCTGAACAGCACGATCCAGGACGGGCCGGGGACCTTCTACGGTGTCAGCAGCCAGTACAGCAGTGCAGAGAACATGACCATCACAGTATCCACCAAGGTGTGCTCTTTTGGGAAGCAGGTCGTGGAAAAAGTGGAGGTGAGTTCCATGCCCTGCTGCATCGGGAAGGGGTAGGAATTGGTCCACAGCGGGTCCTGGGATGGAGAAAGCCCCAGAGCTGGGTGTAGGACATGTGGCTTCATACCTGTCCGTGGGCGGAGCGGAGAGGACATCACTATGTCCCAGCTGGCCACCACTTGCCTATGCCTACATCGCATGTGACAGCTGCTCACCCTGGCTGTCCCCTGCAGACGGAGTATGCACGTCTGGAGAACGGACGGTTCATCTACCGCATCCACCGGTCTCCCATGTGCGAGTACATGATCAACTTCATCCACAAACTCAAGCACCTCCCAGAGAAGTACATGATGAACAGTGTCCTGGAGAATTTCACCATCCTGCAGGTACCTCCACTCCTTTTCCAGGGAATGTTTCCCACCGGAAGTGTGGAGCCCGCACTTGCATTGGCCCTGCCGGCCCTGGGCATGTGCTCCAGCAGCTCAGATACTCCTGGCTGAGCCCACACAGCCCCTGAATTCCAGGGAGCAGATCTTGATGATGCAAACAAAGTGGCTATGCCTGAGCCTGGACGAGTCTCCCAGATAATGGGAAGCAAATTTTTCACGGTGCAGTTAAATAGGCTGTGCCTGAGCCTGTTTGCCTTCCCCAAATAATGGGTAGCAATTTTCTGTGGTGCAAATGCAGTGGCTATGCCTGAACCCATGCAACACTCTCCCAAACAACAGGTAGCAAATTTTTGGTGGTGCAATTCAGGCTGTTCCTCAGCCTGTCCCCTCCCCCCCGCCCCCAAATTGGGTAGTAAATATTGACGGTGCAATTAAATTGACTCTGCCAGTGCCTGTGCAACCCTACAAATAATGGGTAACAAATTTTTCATGATGCAAAGTGGCTGTGCCCATGCGCATGAGCCCATGCAACCCCCTGAATAACTGCATCTGCCCACAGCACTCCCCTAACACGCTCTGCTCTGCTACAGGTTGTTACGAACAGGGATACCCAGGAAACCTTGCTCTGCATTGCCTTTGTTTTCGAGGTCTCCACCAGCGAGCACGGCGCCCAGCACCATGTGTACAAGTTGGTCAAGGACTAGGGGCACTCGGGGACAGGCAGGGGCACAAGGGGCGTGCAGGGGAGGGAGGGGGCCACGCAGAGTAGCCGCCCGTGCCTGTTGCCTTGTGAGAAGTCATTTGAAGAGAGGAGGAGGAGGAAGAACAACAATAGCCAAAAAAGACTGACTTGTGATTGCAGATGTTTTCTACTTAGGAACAGTTTTTGTTTTTTTTTTTTAATAAATGAAAAAAAAACCAAAAAAACAAAGAATGGGAAAAGAAACATAGGGAGAAAGGAAACCCACATCCGGTGCTGGATGAGGAGAGACCGGTCCTCAGTGTTGCTGATAAAGGCCAGGATCCCACCGTGTCGTCACCAGCGGGATGTCGGAGCAGAGAACGACCCTTTCTTTCACCCCCACCCTCACTCAGAAGTGGTCCTGGTCCTGAGTGGAGAGGAGTGAGCACAGATGGGCTGGAGGAGGGGCATTGCACCAGGTCTGGTCCAAAACTGATTGGCATGGCAGCAGCAGTGTCATTGGCACAGCTTGTCAGAGCCCAGGTGGCAGTGGGGACCTGTGCAAGGCAGGAGCAGGGCAGAGCAGAGTGGAGGAGGGGGACATTGCTGCCTCCCTGGGACTGGCAGCCGGGAGGCTTCTCTGTGTGCAGCTGGGGCACTGGGAACCAGTGGCAGTGAAGGCATGAGGGCATCGACAATGCAAACCAGGTTTTTTTATGTCTCTTTCTTTTTTTCTTTTCCTTTTTTTAAGTTAAAGTGCTTTTTTAATACTTTTTAAAAGGACACCATGCTTGTAATCGGGATGATGACCCTCTGCAGTGCCTGGGCCTCTGCCCCGTGCCATGCTGGTGACCAGCAGAGGTGACAGCAGAGTTTACTGGGTTGGAGGCAACAGCGGAACTACCAGGCACGGGGAGTGGCTTGTGTAGGGAAGGCTCAGGATGTTTTCATCTCTGGCTGGTTTTTGTGTGGGATCCCCTGAGCTCTGTGTGGGCTTTCAAGGATAGTGCTTGGGGGTGGCCCAGGCTCAATGTCCCTGCTGTGGTCACTTGCTGAGGAGTCATGAGTAGAGAGCAGTGAGGTTAGACTTGCCTGATTTACTTTGCATATATACATTTTCTTTGTTTCGGTTCTTTTTTCTTCACCTTTTTTGCCTTTTTTCTGTGTTGACTGTTCTGGATTGCTCTGTCCACTTGCCTGCATCCTGTGGGAAGTGGCCAGAGAAGTGGCTCGTGCAGGGAAAAGCATATTGAGCAACACAGGGCCAGGCTGTCAGTGGGCAGGGTTTAGGACAGAGGGGACAGAGACAGAGAGGGGACAGAGAACAGGAAGGATGCCAGGATAAGGGACTGGGTATGCTTGGAGGTATTTTTATGGCTGCAGCCCAAAGTAAGCCAATGCAGCATGCCCAGCCCTGAGGCTGCAACTGCAAGAACAGAGGCTGGGAAGAGTATCCCCTGGGTGCAGGAGGGGCACAGAGAGACAAGGTGGCATGGAGCAAGGTGGCAGGAGGCTGGCAGGGGGACAGGGAGCCCGAGGTGGCCAGGTCTGGACGGATTTCTCGTGTTGGCAGGGGAGCGAAGGTGGCAGGAAATGCAGAGACCAGTGCTGCAGGGGGGGCAGGAGTGGTTTGAGGGGGGCTAAAGCCCAGGATGGGGAGACAGGGCAGGTTTAGGCTCAATGCTGCCAGGTGCAAAGGAGCAGGAACAGCCTCAGAGCCCAGGAAAGTGCCTTGGCTGCCACTGTGATGCCTTGTGTCTGGTGAGGCATGGGGGCTTTGACCTCTTGCTGCTGGGAGAAGACACCCATCCCTGTGGGACAGGGAAGAGCCATCCTGGCCCCACGCCCAGCTGAGGGCTCCATGGTGGGACTGGACTTAGGCAGCTGCATTGAACAGGGCAAGATGGAGCAGGGCGGAGAGAGGGAAAAATCCAAGGCAAGGCACTGGAGTCCTATCCCAGTGCTGTGCCAGGGCGGCCTGGCTGAGTTCTCATATGTAGCATGTTTGTTGTTTTGTTGTTTTTTTTTTTCTTCTTCTTCCGTTTCACTCACTGATCTGAAACTCTGGGAATGAAAACTCAAAACTCCCCCACCATAAAACACAGGTGTGCCCCATTCCCAGCCCCAACCAGGGACAAAGCTCTTCATTAACTGGACTGGTTTGTGCCTCCACCCTCCCTCCATCCCTGCATCCCTCCATCCCGCCTGCACTGAGCCCCAGGGTGTGCACCCACACCCCAGGCACACGCTGACTGGTGCCCCCAGCAGCCCTGGCCGGGGTTTAGCCAGGATCCCAGAGACACTTTCTCAACTCCCCTGCCCCCCAGCCTCTCTGTTCTCCTCCAGTGTATTTATGAATTTCACATGAAGTACTGTTTTATTTTTTTAAAGACTTTGTAAAGCTTACCAGGGTTACAATCACCATTTTTAGAGCTGTGTCAGTCCACAATGTTAAAAATCCAATTTTTTATGTATTATATTTTTTGTGTATTTTTTTTAATCCAGCTGTGATGGGTTGTATCATATATTTGTTGTGTTTACTGTATCTGTCCAACTTCAAAGAGAGGAGACTGTAGAGCTCCGAAAAAACTACAGTCTGCTAAATAAATATTAAAATTATTTGTTCATGGGTTGGCTCAAGTGCTTCTGATGTTCATATTTTATTTCTTGGGGTTTTCTTCAACAACCAGGACTATGAAAGCTGCTCTGTCCCATGAAACCCCATGGCTGGGTAACGTTTCTCCCGCGACCCCCTCTCCCGGCACCGGGATGCCACATCCAGCTGTATTTTGCTCTGATTTGAATCACTTGTGCAGGGTTTGCTTGGGAAAGGTCGACCAACCCCATGGAAGACGCTTCCCTGCAATTCCCGGCAGCCTCGCTGGGTTCAGGGACACGTTTTAGGGGGTCGCGTTCTCGCCCACGCCAGCAGCAGGTGGCAGAAGGCTGGTCTGTCCCACCAGTCAGCAACACCCCTCGAAGCCCTGCTCGTAGTGCCTCGGCTGTTCGGTACACACACACCGGGTTCCAAACACAGGGGACAGAGAGGACGTATTTTAACACCAGCTGCTTTCCCCCGTTCTGCGAGACACGCGTACCCCAGTGCTCCTCGTGCACCCCCAGCGCCCCCCGTTACACCCACCGGCCCATTCCCCGACCCCGGCCCCAGACCCGGCCCAGTCCCATTCACCGACCCCGGCCCCAGACCCGGCCCAGTCCCATTCACCGACCCCGGCCCTAGACCCGGCCCAGTCCCATTCACCGACCCCGGCCCTAGACCGGCCCAGTCCCATTCACCGACCCCGGCCCCAGACCCGGCCCAGTCCCATTCACCGACCCCGGCCCCAGCCCCGGCCCAGTCCCATTCACCGACCCCGGCCCCAGACCCGGCCCAGTCCCATTCACCGACCCCGGCCCCAGACCCGGCCCAGTCCCATTCATCCGCCCCGGCCCCGGCCCTTCCCCTTCCGCTCCGCTCCGTTGCCTGCCGGGACGCGTAGTCCGTGTAGTCCCCGCAGCCCCGCTCCGCTGTCGGCCCGCTCCAGGTCCGCTCTCGGCCCCGCCGGTCGCTCCGCCTCCCGTTCCTCCTGTTGCTCCGGTCCCGTCCCCGCTCGGCTGGTTGCCCCGTTCCGCCTGTTGCCCCGTTCCGCCTGTTGCCCCGCTCCTCCAGCTGTCCCGCTCCGCCTGTTGCCGCTCCCCCGTCCCGCTCCGCGTCCCGCCGCTGTCGCGCCGCCCGCCCGTCCCTCGGGGAGCTGGGAGCGGAGAGCGCCTCGGAGGGCTCAGCCTTGGTAGGAGACGCCGGTGTTAGCACTGCGCAGGAACGGGACGAGCAGCTCGGTAATGCCGCCGGAGCAGGCAGAGCTCGGCTCCCTCCCCCGGCCGCCTGCTACCGGCATCCTGGAGCCCCAGAGTTTCTCTTTTTCGGTTCTAAACCGGAAACCGGATAATCTTAGGGGGTCAGGCGTGAGAGAAGCGAGGGCTGGGAGAATGCTGGGGCTGGGAGAGCGCTGGAGCTGCTTAGGGAGCTTCTGGCTCCTCCACGGTTTGGAGTCTCCAAAAGGATGCGTGGGCTTCCCGAGTGGGGAGGTGTGGGGGTTGTCCCATGCCCGTGCTTCGCATCTCCAGGGTTTCACCCTGAAACCAGGGTGAAAGTCCATCCTGGACACAACTCACTGACAGACAGAAGGTTGAGCCCTGTACGCCATCCCTGGCCCACCGGTGTCCAAACTGGATGGAGGGTCACATGGTGGTCGGGGTACATGGATCCCTTTGTGGGGGCAAGTTGGGGTTCGGGATGGGCTTTGTGCACAGGAGAGGAGGGGTCAGGCCCAGGGTAGGCTGGAGCACCCTGAGCACTCCTCCTTCCTGGCTTTTGCCTTGGCTCAGCCTTTCTGCTACGCCAGCCCGGATCCCTGGCTCTGTCCTGCACCTTCCGCCGGCTCCCCGGGGCTGTCCCCCCTGTCTGCTCCCTGCGGGACCTCCCCCTACCCAGCGTTGCCCTCTGGCCCCCCCAAAATCCAGCAAGAGATGGAGGGCGATCCCGCCCTGCGCCTTCGTGTCTTTGACCTCAACTGCTGGTGAGTCCAGTGTTCGCCAGGGCTGTGCCAGGCTGCATGGGTGGGGATGGGGACACCACATTGGGAGAGGGGTCCCACTTTGGGGTTACCTTTGTGTCCCCTTCATTTTGGAGTCACACCACTCTCCTAGCCCCAGAGGGTCATGAGGTGCTTGCCTGGGTAGTACCTCCAGTCCCCTCTGTGCCTGTTAACCCCCGGGAAGGTCCCCCATTTGCACCCCAAGCAAGGATGAGCTGCCTCAGATCTGCAGGTAGGAGAAGCTGTCCCCAAACAGCCTCCCTGCATTATCCCTCTTGTCCAAATGGCCTCGCATAGCCCTTTCCCATCTGCATCCTGCTTACGCTGGTGCTGGAGCCCTCTCTCCCCCATTTCGGGTGTCAGTGTGCCTCGACAGCCCTCATCACCCCGTCCCCGCCAGGCTGTGACTGTCACCCCTCTCTGGCAGGGCCATTCGCTACCTGAGCAAACGGCGGCAGGAGCGCATCCGGCTCATCGGGGACATGCTGCGCCAGGAGGACTTTGATCTGGTGCTTCTTCAGGAGGTGAGGGCAGTTTCTGAGCCGAGTGTGCCCATTCCCAGCGTGGGATGTGAGTGTGACTGTTCTCAGCCCATCCTACTGTTCTCCAGGTGTGGAGTGAACGGGACTACAGTGACTTGAAGGTGAAACTAGGAGGCTGTTACCCCTTCTCTCATTACTTCCGCAGGTGAGAAGGACAAGGGCAGCCCCCCAGGACTGTCTGTGGGGCAGTGGGCAGGGCTGTGCCATGTCCTATGTTTGACACATGTAGAGACTGGTGCAGGTGCTGTAGGTCACCTCTGTCACTGTGGGAGACCCCATGTCTGGAGAGTGGAATGCTCACGGGAGCACACTAGGGCTCAGGCATCCGTGGAGCCCTCCTGGCTCGGGGCTGGAGGGAGGCAGAGTTTTTGAGGACCACACTTCCTCACTGTGCTTTTCTCCTCCTGCAGTGGAGTGATCGGCAGCGGCCTCTGCGTCTTCTCCAGGTTCCGCATTCTGGACACGTTCCTCTACCAGTACTCGCTGAATGGGTACCCCTACATGGTAAGTGGGGCAGGAGGCATATGGCACCATTGTGTCCACCCCCGTGGAGCCTCAGTGGCCCCAACCTGCTCTTCTTCCCTTCTTGCAGCTCCAACATGGGGACTGGTTTTGTGGCAAATCTGTTGGCCTTGTCATCATCAAGATCTCAGGGATCATCTTCAACATCTATGTCACCCACGTGAGCATCCCAGGGAAGGACCCAGCATGGGGGGGGACAATGGGAAGGAGGGAGATGAAGGGCCACTTCTTTGCTGTCCGCTTGCTTTAACCCCTGCTCTTCACCCTCTGTCCTGGACTATGCACTGATTTAATAAAATATTACTCAGGAAGGGGGGACAGTGACACACAGTCTGGCTGTGCAGTGGGGTGAGCATCCCAGGCTGTCCCCAGGGGAGTGAGATAAGGGCAGAGGTGTTGGCCAGACCCTAGGTGAACCGTCTAGAGAGGTTGGGTAGGTTTGCAGGGAGCCTGGGAGCAAGGCAGGTGTTGGCGTGGGAGTCAGCCTCTTTGCTCCCCTGCTCTCACCAGCTGCACGCCGAGTACTGCCGGGAGAAGGACGCCTACCTGCCCCACCGCCTGGTGCAGGCCTGGGAGCTGGCACAGTTCATCCGGTGAGCAGCCAAGGGGTGCCCCACAGGGTCCCCCATTGCAGGTCCCCAGGATATGTGCAGTCACCCCTGCCCCTGGGTATGCACTGCAGAGAGCTCCCAGCTGCACCAGTCCCAGTCAGGAGTAAGGCTGAGAAGCACTGGGTGGGTCCCAATCACTGCAGTCTGGTGCAGGGCAGCGCAGGGATGGGAGGTTAGCCATCCTTTCCCCTGCAGACACACCTCCAAGGCGGCTGATGTGGTGCTGCTGGGAGGGGACCTGAACATGCACCCCGAAGATGTGGGCATCCGGCTGCTGCGTGGCTGGACGGGGCTGCGGGATGCCTTTGCTGAGGCCACACACTTTGAGGTGAGCAGCAAGGGCTGAGTGGGGTCCAGGGCAAACCAAGAGGCCCCCACCAACCAAAGCTCTTGTCTCAGGGCTGTGAGGATGGTTGTACCCTTGTCCCCAACAACTGCTTCACCGACAAATCAGAGCTGCTGCCCTTCCCACTGGGCATCCGCATCGATTACATCCTCTACAAGGTAACGGGGGACCCTTCGCCACCACCTGTGAGTGGAGAGGCTGAGGAACTGGTGTGACCCCCTTGCACCCTCACCCAGGCCATCTCCAGCTTCATGGTAAAGTGTGAAGAGCTGAAGACCACCACAGGGGCAGCTCCGGGCATGGACGTCCCCTTCTCAGACCATGAAGCTGTGATGGCAACACTGCACATCCAGAGGCAGGGACAGGCTGCGGGTGCCACCCTCGCCACTGCTGGTAAGTTGGGGGGCTGCTGCCAGCGTCCACATGTGCTGGGAGGGCTGGTGGATGAGTTGGATGGAGTTTTCTGGGGATGTTTCCCTTTGCGTAGGACATCCTTTGGGGTGGTGCTTGTGGAGTGGTGCATGGAACAAGGCACGGTGTGGGGATGTGAAAAAGGGGGGGTATAGGAGTGGTAGAGAGGGGTCCCACCCTGTTGAGGCCCTTGTCCCCGCAGAGCCAATGCTGGTAGATGTGGTGACAGAGGCACGGACAGAGGTGGCCGTGGGGCTGCGGGCAGCACAGCGGCAGCGCTACTCCTCGGGCAGGATGGCCTTGCTGGCCCTGCTGCTGCTGCTGCTGCAGGCCGTGGCCGCACTGGGTGCGCTGGCAGGGCTGGACGCCGGGCAGCCCTTCCCCAAGCTCTCCTTCTGCCTGCTGGCCTTCCTTGCCATCGGCATCCTCCTTCTTGCCACTGGTCTCCACCTGTTTCACACCATGGAGGTGAAGATGCTGCACAGCACCGAGGAGCAGATGCGGATGGTGCTGCAGACGCTGCAGGAATGTCCCAGTGACGGCTGAACTGAGGCTGTGGGTGCCCCACAATACCCCTCCAGTGACGGCTGAACTGAGGCTGCGGGTGCCCCACAATACCCCTCCAGCCCCACTGTGTCCCTTTTTGATCCTTTTTTTAGCTGGCTTCTGGCAGCAGTGCAGCCAATGCAGTAGTGCAGGTTTGACATTTGCCTCTGAGAGAAATTAAGGTAGATTTGTTGCACTGGCCCTTGTGGGAACTACGATGGACGTGGGGTTTTATTGCTTTTTAAATACACCCTTTGTACCTGGAGGGACCTGCTGGCCTGGTTGGGAGGCTTGAAAGACTCAGGCTCCCCATGCCTGGGGTGGAACGCTGGCGATTGCTCTAACAACCAGATTTGACTCAGATAGAAAATAAAGGTGGTATTTTAGCCCTTGGTGCCGGGTCAGGGGGGCTTTATTAGAAAGGAGGGGGGCTGCAACGGGATGGTAGGGCTGGTACAAACACAAGGGAGAGCTGGAGGAGACACTGAGGGGAATGGCAGGATAAGGGCTGAACACAGGGTGGTATTGCTAAGAACCCATGCCTGGGACCCCCGTCTCCAACATGTCTGGGGCTGCTGCAAGATCCATTCAGCCACAGAGGCCACCCTGCAACACCTGGAGACTCTAGAGGGGTCTGAGGTCTGTGCAAAGGCCATTGTGGCATTGCCAAGCAGGAGAAACCTGAAAGGGGCAAGGAGGACATGGCCACTGGCGTCCCTTGTCCTTGGTATCACAGAGTGATTGGGCACAATCTGGACAAAATGCCCTTCCCTGCCCCAAGGGGCTCATGGTGGGGTTGTGATCCTGGTTTCCTGCAGCAGCTGGGGATAGCGTGGACATGGCATGCAGAGTGGCAGGATCAGCCCAATCTGTCACTGGCCCCCACTTGTACAGCCAAATGTCCCTTGAAGAGATGGACAGTCCAGGCTGGGATGGATGCCCTCAGCTGGAAGGGATGTCCCAGGGTAGCTTCCAGGGACCTGTCCTGATGCTGCCCCTGCACATTTGACATCTCCCCTGTGACCTGCCTGTGGTGGCTATGGTCACCTCCTTGCTGCTGGGCACCCCTGGAGCCCCCTGCAAATCTTATTTTCAAGCAAGCACAAGGCAAAGGCAATCCAGCCACATGCGAGAACGCCCTCTTTGCACCCCAAAGCTGGGTGCTTCTCAGTGTCTCTCCATGTGGGCATCCACCAGCAGGTCTGGCCCTTCCGTGACAGGCTTTGGCAAGCAGGGAGCTGGATTCGCCATGGCAGCTGCTGGTGCTTGCAAGCAGCTCAGGCATCACGACCATCACAGAGGCTGCTCAGAGTGATGCTTGTACCAGGAGACACACACACACACTGCTTGTCCCCCCAGGGAGGATCTGGTGGGTCCAGGGGCTGTGGGGATCAGGCCCGCAGCTCACTGAGCCGCTTCTCCTCCTGGATGTGGATGAGGAGGTTGCGCTCATTCACCACCTTCAACAGCTGCGCCAGAGTCTCCTGCTCAGCCCTGCAATCCTCGGGTGTCTTTAGGGTTTCTGTGGGTGCAGGGGGCCAGAGTAGGGCTGGGTGGGCCACAACCCTGGCCTGCTCCCCACACCATGCACAGGGACCCCCCTCCCATGGCAAGTACTGGCACTCACCCTCCCTGTTCATGTAACTCCGGAGCTTCTTATCAAGCTGCCACTGCTGCTCCTCCAGCTTCAGTTCCTGCACCCTGTGGGGAGGGAAGGAGTGTGCTGAGTGCTGGGTTCGAGAGGGGCTGGGATGAGCTGAGCCCCCACACTGACCAGAGAACATCCCCCCGAGCCTTACGCAATCATGAGGTCTGACTCCTCAGTCATCAGACTGTTCTTCTTCTGGACCAAGTACAGCAGCTGGTTTGTCCACTGTGTCTGCTGGTCAGCTGGGCTGCCTGCAGGACAGGGAGATGGTGAGTGGGGTGCAAACCCCCGTCATGGGGGACGGGGACACAGTGCTCCATCTACCTTGGTCTTACCATTCTCATCCCGGAGTAATTTCTCCAGTTTGATGCCTTCCTGCTCCAGTTCCCGGAATGTCACCTCAATCTCCTCCAGCCGTCTCTGGATGGCCTGCGAGGGAAGGGCAGCACTCGTCTGTGGGCTGGCACCTGCCATCACAAGGCCACCAGGAGCCAGATGGAGAGGACAGGGGATGGTGCTGGGCTGAGGACCCAGCTCTCCCCTGTGGGGGTTACCTGGGCTTTGCAGAACCGCTTCATGTGGGCTTCCCTGGCCCGGCGGGACAGTGTGTGCTCACAGGTGGAGTACATATCCTCTTTGCCCAGGTTCAGGCACTATGAAGAGATGGTGGCATGGGCAGAGGGGGGTCAGTCCCTGCACCAGGCACCTCCTGCCTCGGCAGCCATGGCTGAGCCAGACCTGATGCCTCTGTGAGAGGAGATGCCAGCAAGAGCCCCAGCTACCACCTGTGCTGATGGGGCCACTGCCACTCTGGAAAAATCCTCACCAACTCTGCCATGATGCCAAGATCTGTGCCTTCCTCCTCCTTCTCCTCCTCTTCCTCGCTGTCGCTCTCCTTCAAAGCTGCTCCAAGAGAAAAGCCCTTTCAGGCTGGTGCCTCATGAGCAAGACGTGGGGTACAGCAGGTTACAGCAGGGTCCTGAAGGGACTGAGAGCTTTGCTCATCCAGAGACTCCAGCTTCTACCACCTACTTTTCTGCATGTCAAGTTCCTCCTCCTCCTCCTCCTCCTCCTCCTCCTCCTCCTCCTCCTCCTCCTTCCAGCAGTCTTGGCCCTGCCATGGGGCAGGGAGGGCCTCAGGCACTGCTTGGAGCCACAGACGAGCTGGCTTCGGTGGAGGATCAGGCTCTGCTTCGCTGGTGAGATTCAGGGTGGACAGACTGAGCTTCTCCAGTGGTGTAAGGATGATCTTCCTCCTGCCCCCACTCTCCTCACCCTCCTCTGCCACCCCCTGGAGTTCTGCTCCAGGACCCTCCTCCTCCCTTGCATCCCCCCCGGCCTGTGCCAGCAGCTCCTGCTCCTCCACATCACCAGCATCCACAGCATCCTCCACTGCGCCAGGCTCTTCCCCTTGCTGTGGAGCTGCTGGAGTGGGCTGTAGGGGACCAGGCGCCCCCTCCTTGGGGGACGCACATGGGCTCCCAGCATCCAAGGGTGGGTCGGTGGCAGCATCAGCATCCTAGGGCAGAGCCAGAGCAGAGGAGTGATGCAGCATGGGGGCCATGCTCAAGCCTCCCCCTCCACATACTGTCTTTCCTCCATCACCTAGGTGATTTAGAGTGACTTACCCCTAAATCAGGCAGTGCTGGGGCCTCGTACTGGGATAGGTCCATGCCAGGTAGATTGGGGTAGTGAAGTGAGCAGTAAAAATTACCTGGGGGGCAAATTCACGTGATGACCTGCAAGGTGGAGAAGTCCTGCCCCAAGCATCCCCTCTCCCCAAAACCCGCCTCACCATCCTCCTCGTTAAAGGCGTAGTCGCCCAGGCGCAGGGTGGCCCCACACCGCCGGCACTGGAAGCAGCCACGGTGGAAGAAACGTCCCTCAGCACTAGCTCGCTCCAGGATGTAGACATGGCTGCCACAGAAGTAGCAGGCATCGCTGTTCTCCCCTGCCCTCTCTCTCGGCGGCTGTGGGGGGAGAGGACAGGCCGGGGTGGCACCAGGGTCCTGGCACCCACCCTGCCCCGCGGCTTTGCTGGCAGCCATAGGTGTGCAGTGGGGGTTTTGCCCCTCGTAGAGACGGGTCTGGGTGCTCAGGTTGGATTTGCTGGCACCAGTGAGGGAGCGGCAAGTCTTGGCTCTGGAAAACCAGTTGGGTCAGGAAACAAGCAGGGAGGAGCCAGGAACCCGTGGGCGTTTGCTTGCGTAGCCCTGCTCCCAGCCCTTGGCTTAGCCCTGCCAGCCACTGGTGTCCCCCCCAGTGCCACCTACATAGCTGAACCCCCCATCCCAGGGTGACACGAGGACCAACCTGCCCTGGGTCCGTCATGGTGGTTTGCAGCGGCTCATGGGCACTGTCCAGAGTGTCTCCATCCAGCCCCGCGTCCAGCTACGAGCGACCCGAGGGGGAGGGTCAGGCCCCCACTCTCCCCCCAGGAAAGCTGCACCCCTGCAGAGCACTCCTCGGGGTGCCTGGGGCAGACCCACCTCGGTGTCCCTGTGGCTCCTCTTGGCCTCAGCATCCTTCTGGGCACTGTCCTGCAAATGCAAAGGGAGTGGCTAGGATGGGGAGGGGGACAGGGTTTTGGTGTGTCAGGAGAATCCGGGTGGAGGTCCCTCACCTGGGCGCGTTTGCGTGTCAGGTTCCGGCTCTTCTGCAGCTTGCTGAGGAAGAGGATGGCCCCTCGTGTGCCGTGGGGAGACAGTGGTTTCTTGCTGACCTCCTCTACCTCTGCACAGAAGGACACGGCCATGTTGGTGGGACCCACTCTACAAAGAGGGGAGCAGCCAGCCAGCCCCAGTGGGGCTCAGGATGGGACAAATACCTCCAAAATCTCACACCTGCTGAGGTCTTGAAAGCTTCATAAAACTGGCTGAGGTAGGTGATGAGGCCCAGGTGGTCAGGCTCTGTCATGGTGGCCATCTCAATGCTGGAGAGGACAGGCTGGATGCCCAGCTCCTGTTCTGCCATGTCCAGCATCATCTGGTGGATCTGAACGGCATCCTGGGTGCCCACAGAGTCAAAGTCCCTGGGGGGACACACGGGTGCCATCAGGGTGGGCTCCGCAGGGGAGGAGGTCCTGAGGGGTCCCAGACACTCACACTAGATCAGGGCGGAAGCGGTGGATGAGGGCACAGAGGGCCAAGCCACTGGTCCAGGAGGTGGTGAAGTTGGTCACTGCCACGCCACGGTACCCAGCTGTGCTGGCCTGGCACCAGCTCAGCAGCTCTTCGTAGACGTCTCCAGAGGCTGCTGGGGAGGCAGCATATGTGTCTCCATCCTACAGAGGCAGGGGACACCCCCCCAGTCTGCCTCCCACTGCAGCATCACCGCTTTAATAGGGGAGGGGTCCAATGGGAGTGACCTGAGACTCCCCCTGCTACCCCCACAACCACCCCTGCAAGGCTCGATAAATGGGTTCATAAAGCATCTGTCAATATTTCATGGCTCAGCATCAGTGTGGGCTAGGAGGGAGGCAGCCTCCTCCCCAGAGGGCAGTGGGGGGCTGTGTCCCCACATGGGGAGCAG